CTGGCTCTGCCATCCCTACACACAAAGCAATCCCTGTCCTGGCTGTTCTCATGATGGTGGAACAAGCTACCACACGCCATCAGAGCAGGGGTGTCCCTCTCTAATTAAATTTTGTATTTACCCCATTGATGCGTATGTGCTAATAGCTCTTACTAGTATTGTTGCACTTACGAGTATTGTCAGTTGTAGATCTCGTGCTGTATTGATGCTCTGTTGATGCTTGTATCTTATTCGTCAAATGGAAGTCGCTTTGGATAAAAGCACCTGCCAAATGAGTAAATGTAATCTTATGTAATGGGTAGTAAGGTACTATGAGCTCTTTAAGATAAGATGGTCCCTGACCATTAAGGGCTTTGTAGGTGAGCAGAAGAATTTACATTCTGTTCTGGATGTTACAAGGAGCCAATGCAGAGAAGCTAATACAGGGGAAATATGATCTCTTTTTCTGGTTCTTGTCAGTACACATGCTGCAGCATTCTGGATCAACTGGAGAGTCTTAATGGTCTTATTCAGGCAGCCCGATAATAAAGAATTGCATTAATCCAGCCTAAAAGTAACAAATGCATGGACTAGTTTTTCCAGATAATTTTGAGATACTGTAGGATGTGCCTGATTTTTAACTAGGTGAAGAAAGGTGGTCCTTGAAGTTTGTTTTATGCAGGGGTTTAAGGTCATGTGCTGATCTAAGATAACTCTGAGATTTAAGCCTCCAGTCCCTTCCAAACATCCAGCGAGAGTTGTACTGAAATAAGCTTTGATGCTGACAAGGACATTGTTTCTTTCACAGTGAAATCTGACAACAAGGACAAGCAGGAGAAGAAAGACATCATGTCCAGCAAGACAGACAAGATCGACACCTTTGACAAAAAAGAGAAAGAAGAGCAGCAGAAGAAGGACAACGGCCCAGACAAGAACCAGAAGTCTGAGAAGATTGTCAAAGATGAGGAAAAGATAGAGAAGATGAATGTGGAGAAAACAACAAGGCCATGGAGAAGGCAGAGAAGGTAGACAAGCCGGAGAAGACCAACAAGGATGAAAAGAAAGAAGAGGAGAAGAAACCGGCTGAGAAGAAGGAAGAGAGCGGGAAGGGAGTGAAAGGAACTGCCAAGTCCCCAACAGGCAACAGCAGCAAGACTCTGCCAAGCCCTGACAGCAAGAGCAAGGTAGGTCACACACACACACACTCACAGAATACTGCTGTTCACATACATTTCTGCACACAGATTCATACACTTAGAGGGACCAGGGACAGAAACAGCACTGTCAACTCTGCTACAGCCAGTATATCTAATAACAACCTGCTCTGGTGTCCTTGCACTGCTTCTGCTCCTTCTACCAGTCTCATTACCAAATCATCTGCTCATTATTTACTCGATTAATCATTTGGTCTATAAATAATGGAATTATAGACAATCCTCAGAAAACAGTGTCAGGGGGAAGTAAACACAACAATAAGAGAACGGACAGAAGGTCAGGGAGCCACTGTGACTGACTGGCATTAGCATGTTCGCACTGGCCTGGCTAGCGAGTTAGCTTTCCATCAACTAGCCCCGCGATTTGTCACTACATCACCAAGCTTCCATCACCGCATGCTCAGCGAAGGTGCACAGATGAACTTTGCTGTGCCACTTTCCGGGCCGTTAGCATGTATTTAGAAGTTCTAAAAATCCATCACTGAGTCTCTGTGGATGTGTATGAATGCGTCCAATATCTGAGACCTGATTTCCATGTCATATGCTACTTTTGGACTGCTGCTCATTTAATCAGATTTGAGGCTTATAATTTATCATGTATTGCTCATGCACCCTCTAAAGTGGCTATAAATTGCTAATTTTATTTTAGAAATTTTATGATTGTCATGTTGCTGGCTGTGCTGCCATGTCACGCTGCCATTGCGATCAGTGATTGCAGTTATTTTTCTTTGCTTTTTCTTTCTGTGCTCCTTTTTCTTTCTTTCCTTTCCTCTTCCCTTTTTCACTATTATGTGGCTTCTTCTAAATCCATTGTCACCAGCCTGACGTGGCTTCAGCTAAACCAAACTCAGCCAAATCTCGCCCATCCACCCTCTCCACCAATGGCGAGGCCAACTCGGCCAAACGCCCCATCCCCACCACAGCCTCAACCAATAAAAAAAGCCCTGTACCCAAGGCGACCACACCCACCGCCGTCAAGCAGTCACCAATGGCAGTTGGTTTCGCCAAGGCTGCCAAGGTGAGTATATTCAGGTCTTTCTCAGTCTGCGTTCTTGTCTGTACTCTTTTTCTTGTGAACTTGTGAAAGATCATGGGTGGTGACGGCTCATACATAAAATGCTTGCCTTTGGTGACCTGTGGGAGACCTGGGTTCGATTCCCACTGTGAGACATCCACCATTGTGTCCCTGAGCAGGACACTTAACCCTAGTTGCTCCAGAGGCGTGCGACCTCTGACATGTATAGCAATTATAAGTCGCTTTGGATAAATGAATAAATGTAATGTAATCATCATTCACATCCCTATTCAAAGCGTGCATTTAACTGAGTTCAAATGCCCTGAAGTGTTCTTGCTCCACCCGTTTAATCGAGGATACTTTAGGACTTGAGGTAGACATGTATCCCAGCATGCATTTCTGGTTTCAAATTAGCGAGGGGCAATGCGGTAGTATATGAGCTAAGCTGATAAGCGTTTTATTTTTCATTCTGTCAACTATTAGTCTGTCACCAATTAAGGCTTTGGTACTTAAATTTTAAATAAGTTGTCATTTTATTAGAATAATGCCTACATTTGCTCCCATGTTTTTAAAGGCTTGAGGATCAGCATCCTTTTGGTAATTTACTGGTAGCACTGATGAATTTAAAACTTTTTAAATATAAGATATAATACCTTTTGCAAGATAATTGTTGGTCACAGAGTCTAAAAATAATAATTGCTAGATGAGTTGAAGTTATGGAGTATTTTTTTTGTGAACAGTTAAAGTTGTACAATAACACTGCCTCTGTGGTTTTTGGCTTTCAACTTTCAAAGTCTGAACAACAGTCAAATAAATGTTTCTTGTTAAATCCAAGCCCGATTTAAAACATTTTTATCAGACCAATCTATTTAGCTTGCACTCAGTAAAAATTGTAGTTTTAATTATTTTAATGTTTTTATGACCGCTAACCTATTAAAATGCTATTTAAGCTATCTGTTATAATTTAACCTCCGTATTACTTTTATATGAACATTTTGACAGGCTAGAATTCTCATGTAAGGGAACCGTCATATCTGTTTGCAACATATAAATCGGCTGCTCAGACTTGATTAATGTGCTTGTCCCTGCCTCACAAACCAAAAAAATTCAATTGAACACAAATCAATAGTCAAATACAGAAGAAGAGAAAAACAGAATTACAAGACATATTATTCTGACCGTCAGGGCTTAATATTTGTATAGATGTTAAATTCTATAAATATTAACCTGACGGTATATATATATATATATATATATATATACATATACATATATATATATATATATATATAAGGATATATATAAGTATCGTCACATCCTACTTACCAAAGGTTTTGTGCGTCGCTTGATACTTATTATTGATCACTGACTATAATTATCATTGATTATATGCAGTCTATGAGAACTATCTGTAAAATATGCAGAAAGCCTTTATTCAGCCTTTCTGTCTCATAAGTTACCATGATGACACAACCTTGCTGTAAACAAAACAACACTTCGTAACAGGGTGGCTATGACTGAAGTTTTTCAGTCAGTGGAGAGCAACTGCAGCTCCAAAAGCTGCAGCTGCCTCAATCTTGTGTGATTGTTGTTTCTTACATTTGAATGACATCAGGCCAAGTTGAGATCAAGTTGAAATCGAACCATTGTACCATCGATCGTCGTTGACAGTCTCATTTAAACAAGCCTATTATTTACAGTAATGTAAGAGTAATCACCAGAGCCTGGTGATGTCAGCAATATGTCAGGGTCCTCCTGTTGAATGTGACACACTGAGAAAGGACTTCTGTCCCCACTGATTTAGACTTTTGACCCATAAAATGTTTATATTTTTACTTTAATCTCTTGCCTACTGTGACTTTAAAAGCTTTTATACCTGCATGGACATCAGTGACAATTTTGTCACTGCTGTCCAAAATGTATTACATGTGGTGACTGTTTCTCAATTTTTGTAAATCTGGCAATAAGACCTCAGTCCTGCTTCCTTCTTCCCCTACTGTTTATCATACGTCTGTCTTCACCGTCTTTCCTCTCTTTGCTTTCATTCTCTGCATATGTCGTGATTGCATGATTGGCCTCATAACATGGGAAAACAGGACAACTTAGCCTTAATGCACACAGCAGCAACAGTACACACAAACCTGATATGCATGCAGACATACAGAAAAATTCTTACACATACAAATTATCAAAAAATACACACCCACAGCTTATTTCTCATCTGTTTTCCAGACTCCAGAAAATGGAACAGCTGAGAAACGCCCACCTGTGCCAAAGGCCACAGCCACACCCCGTGCTACTGCCAATAAGAACAGCTCCTCTGCGACTGCTGCAAGTAAAACCGCTGGTACGGTGTCATCATTCCTATTATATCTACAATGTCTGTCTGCCCTCTGCACCTGATTGTGAACACTACTGTCACAGGCAGTATCTCCACTTTCCTTTGGGTAGTTCATAGTGTTGCCAGTGCAACATGACCTCTACAACAGGACCTGAACTTGCTACATTAGCTGGAAAAATGACTCACTGCGTAGACTGGCCCCACTCCAGGCAACAGGCTAACTGAATTGCTACCATATGTTACACTTTATTGGATTCAAGAGCTGACTTTTGGAGACACCAGACTGGTATTTTTATCTGCACATCACAAACAGTATCTCACCTCTCTAGGCGATAGAGCTGTGATCTCAGTCTGAGCCATGTTTGTCAAACAGGCTTTCTGCTTTTTGTGCACTTCAGCTCAGCAACTTCAGAGAAAATGTGCACAGTGATGGGTGTTATGTACTGCAAGGTGCCTATTTCATTTTAGTTGTATGAGTGAACTCTATTATTTTTGTGAGTGTTGTCATGATGGCAGCAGTTTAGTTAGATTCCATAATGCTTCTGTGACAAAATTGCGGTATTACATACAACACAGCTTCATCAACTAAATGACCATGCTGTCACATCTCCATAAACGGTGAATAACTTATGTCATCTGGAGCTCCCAAATCTCATATACATTTGATAAGTGAAGAACACTCTATGTGTGCAGCAAACTGCAGGATTTGGTTGGACAGGAAATCTTGGCAAGACTTTGCAATTATCCGTCATTAACAGCCAATCGCCAAAGTTAAAATCATTTTAATTTTAAAAATCACATGAAACATCTTGAAGTTGTGAAATTTTGGCACAAGAGCTATACAACAAGCTGACTGCCCTGATGTATTATCACCTTATAAAGTTGTTATGGCTCAGGTCTTAGTTAGTTGTCTGTGACTGTTTTGGTCTCCACCAACTCATGAAAAAAATATCTGGCTGTTTAGCTGGTAAATGTTTGATTCTTTGCCAGCTAGCTACTAACTTTGTCTGTCTGCTGATTTGTACTAAATGTGCTCTAATGGTGCATTCCATTTGACATGGGAACTCAGAATTTTCGAGTTCAGACTTGGAAATTTCAAAGGGAACGACCCTTTAAGTAGGATTACCAACTTGGAAAGTCGGGACCGCACCACCCCGACTTTGTGATCCAAGATGGCTGCTCTGAGTATCAACAGTTGTGTCTCATAGAAATTTTCTTACACAAAGTGCTGCCCAACTACTCTCTCTGGATGTGTTGACACTGTGTTTAGTATGAGTAAATACCGCACAATGCCTAACAATAGCTAACCTGGCTAGTTGTAAACAATGACGATCGAGGTTTTCTGGAAAGCTGTCAACTCTGGTGTGACGTCATTCCCATCTCCGACCTCCGACTTCCGAGGTAAATGAAACGAACAATAAATCCAAAACTGGGAGCTATAACAGCATAAAAGCTACAATAACCCGATTCATTGGTTGGTATTAAAAATATTGGTTAGTTGAGCTGTTAAATTGACAGCAAAGTTTACAAAAGCAAGGATCTAAAAAATCAGGCATTACCCAAATTTGTCAGACTAGAGTAACCAATCAGCCACTTTGTCTACAGAAGATGGCGCTGTCTATAGCTGCCTTGGTGTTAGGTGAGCTTTGTTTAGTCTTGTTTTTGTGTGTTAACTCAGTTTTTGGCTGTGTTTCCCGGAGCTCTTTCACCAGAGAAGAGCTCATGAACATCAGGGGAACAACTCCAGCGGATTTATTTCACATGTTTCTCACGTCATCAGTGGAATTATTGGACCTTTTGGTGAAGGGCTGTCTCGTTATTGTTCGCCGAATGAAGCGCCGTAAGAGAGGGAAATGAGCCGGGTCACTCATGCGCCTCCGCCGGCGGGGACTCACTGTGAAACAAACTGGACGAGCTTCAGCTTCTGTTGGGGAAAAACAGAGACTTTTATTCATCTTCTGTTCTGTGCTTCACGGAGACGTGGCTGTGTGGATCAATACCAGACTCTGGCTGGCTTCCAACTCTACAGAGCGGATCGCAACACAGAGCTGTCCAGCAAAATAAAAGCTGGAGGTATCTGTTTATATTAACAATGGCTGGTGTACCGACGTGATTGATAACGTTGATGATGTCATTCAGCAGCACTGTTCTCCTAATCTGGAATTTTTAATCATAAACTATCAACCGTTTTACTCCCCCCATGAGTTTGCTCCATTCATTCTGGTTGGTGTTCTCATTCTGCGGCACACCAACGTGCACGACGCACAGCACATGCTGGCCGACCAGATACTGTGAGTGGAGCAGACTCCCTTGTTATTGTTCTTGGTGACTTTAACAAAGGAAACCTCTGCCAAGAACTCCCCAAATACAGACAGTTTATGTCCAACCAGAGAGGGGAACACTTTGGATCACTGTTACACCACAGTTAGCAGTGCCTATCACGCCGTTACACGCGCTCCACTGGGACACTCTGATCACGTGATGGTCCATCTGATTCATGCTTACAGGCAAAAACTAAAGCTCTGTAAACCTGTGGTGAGGACATCAAAGAAATGGACCAGTGAAGCTGTAGATGATCTTCAGGTGTGTTTGGATTGAACTGACTGGGACGTTTTCAAGAAGGCTACCAACAATCTAGATGAGTGTACAGAGGCTGTGACGTCCTACATCAGCTTCTGTGAGGACACCTGTATACCAACACGCACCAGGTTGAGTTATAGCAATGACAAACTCTGGTTCACAGCTAACCTCACACAGCTGAGGTAGGAAAAGGAAGAGGCATGTAGGAGTGGCGACCGCGCCAGGTTTAAGGAGTCAAAGTACAGGTTTAGCAAGGCGGTGCGAGATGCTAAACAGTTGTACGCAGAGAGCCTACAACACCTGTTCTCAACAAATGACTCTGCTTCTGTCTGGAGAGGCTTCAGACAGAGCACTGGCTACAAACCTAAATCCCCCCACTCCATGAACAACTCACGCCTTGCCAACGAGCTGAACCAGTTTTAACAGCTCACTGGAGTCATGCCATGTGCCAGCCTGCTTCAAAGCCTCTGCCATCATCCCTGTCCCCAAAAAACCAAGGACCACGGGGACTAAATGACTACAGACCCATCGCCCTGACCTCTGTGGTAATGAAGTCTTTTGAGTGCCTTGTGTTGTCCCACCTTAAACCATCATAGACCCACTCCTGGACCCTCTGCAGTTCGCCTGCAGAGCCAACAGGTCTGTAGAAGAGTCAGTAAACATCGTCCTTCACTACATCCTCCAGCAACTGGACTCCCCAGGCACCTACGCCAGGATCCTGTTTGTGGACTTCATCTCTGCTTTCAACACCATCATCCCGGCCCTGCTGCAGGACAAGCTCTCCTAGCTGAGCGTGCCTGACTCCACCTGCAGGTGGATCACAGACTTCCTGACGAACAGGAAGCAGCACGTCAAGATGGGGAAACTTGTCTCTGACTCCAGGACCATCAGCACCGGTTCCCCTCAAGGCTGCGTTCTTTCCCCTCTGCTCTTCTCCCTGTACACCAACAGCTGCACCTGCAGTCACCAGTCTGTCAAGCTCCTGAAGTTTGCGGACGACACCACCCTCATTGGGCTCATCTCTGGTGGGGATGAGTCCACCTACAGGTGACCTGGTGCAGCCAGAACAGTCTGGAGCTCAACGCTCAGAAGACAGTGGAGATGGTCGTGGATTTTAGAAAGAGCACAGCCCCACCCTCCCCCATCATCCTGTGTGACTCCCCAGTCACCACTGTGGACTCCTTCCGCTTCCTGGGCACCATCATCTCCGAGGACCTTAATTGGGAGCATAACATTACCTCCCTCACCAAGAAGTACGTAGGAAGACCTCCTATATCACCATCTGCTATGCTGCTGCCACTGCCAGGGACAAGGGCAGGCTGTAGCGTATCATTCGCTCTGCAGAGAAGGTGATTAGCTGCAATCTTCCATCACTTCAGGACCTGCATGCCTCCAGGACTCTGAGGCGAGCAGGAAAGATTGCAGCTGACGCCTCCCGGTCACAAACTGTTTCAGACTCTCCCCCCTGGCAAGAGGTTGCGGTTCATCAGGACCAAAACCTCTCGCCACAAAAACAGCTTCTACCCGTCTGCAGCTAGCCTCATCAACAAGACCCGGGCCCCCCACTGACACTCCCCCCCTTTCAAATAATATAATCGTCTCTGCACATGTAATTACCACTTCATGTCATATGATGCACGAACCTGGCACATTGCACATATTTGTTTTTAATTGCAAATTGTTGTTGTTCCATTGTTATTTTTATTTTTTTATATTGCCAGTTATATTATTTTTGTATATTTTTCTGTTATTCTTATATAACTTGCATTTGTTTATTACATATTTATATATTTCTACATCTATTTATGTCAGCTGTATGTCTGTCTGTGTGCAGCACCTTAACACCAAAGCAAATTTCTTGTATGTGTAAAACTTGGCAATAAAGCTCCTTCTGATTCTGATTCTGATTCTGAAATGGCAACAAAGTACTGTACACTATCACTGTATTTCAGACTGCAAAACAAAATTTAGCTCTAGATGGTCAGCGCTGGTGCTTGTCCGTACAGCAGCAACTATGTGAAAATTACTCCTGACTTATAGTTAGATAAACTAAAGTCTGACATGAGTGTTGAGGTATTTGGTAAAAGGTGTTTAATCTGATGTTTCCTGCTTACAGCGAACAAGAATGACAAGACTGAGAACAAGACGGGAGAGGCCAAGAAACCCAAGAGTACAGGTAACAAACTAAGAGAAAAGACAGACAATACTGTTTCAATATTGTTCTCATATAACTAAATGTCATGAGAATAAAATAGTTTTTATTAATGTGGAAAATTGTTTTAACTCACACTGCACGTAAATCGTGTGTCCTTTTTGCACAGCCAGAACCTACTACTTTAACGCTCACACTGAATGGATCAATTGACCCTTCACTAAGCCACGCCCCGAATACTCAGCTGGCCAATCACAGCGCAGTATAGGACTTACTATAATTGTGGTCCGACACTTTCATGGCTGTGCTCCATTGACTAGTATGCAAAATGAGTCGTTTTCTAGCTTTTTTTGCTGTATTTCCATATCCAAGTTATGGTCAAAGCTGTTCCTGGAGCACTTTTAATAGTTACAGTCGCTACCCCGAGAGGTGTAGAAAACCTAAACAAATCCAGGAAAATGTAGGCTGTCTGTTGTTTCTAATGTAACATACAGAGACCTGTACAGAAGCAGTGTTGATCCTTAATATTGTTGTCCTCTTTCTCAATAGTCAGTAATAATACGGGGGTTCACTTTTACTCTGTGATCGGTAGGGTTGAACTTCTGTCTTTATTTTTTTACGTCTGCCTGAATACAACCTTAAAATGCACAATGCAACTGCAAAACTGTCTGCTTCTTTCTGAGATTGCTCTTTCCAAAAATGAGTAAATATTTCTCTAGGGACTCCAGTTATAGACGGGCAGTGCCTTGCTAAAAGTCCAACAGGTCCGACAGTTTGTCAGACTCAGCAATAGTAACTAAGTAGGCCGTGGCTTCACGAAGGGTCAATTGACCGACGTGGAACTCACACTAAACGACTCACACTTTTCACACAATTCATCACTTTTCACACAATTTATCCATCCATCGTCAACTGCTTATCCTGCGTACAGGGTCGCAGGGGGCTGGAGCCAATCCCAGCTTACATCGGGTGAAAGGCGGGGTACACCCTGGACAGGTCGTCAGTCCATCGCAGGGCCCTTGACAATTCAATTCTAATTAAATTTATTAAAATTTTTACAGACACTTGTTGAAACAATGTTGATAAAGAGAGCAACTACTATGAACAAAAATAAGAAGTAAAAAAAAATCTATAGAACTGCAAAGGTCTGGAAGATGCAAAATGTTCTGTCTGTTGTGTAGTGTAGATCAGTAACTGGCAGTTTATCAGGCATCCCCCCCTCAAAATGCATATCAAACAACAACAGGTCTGGCAAAAATCTGGCCAATGTGCTTATGGCTTAATCGATAGTGTCTACCAGGCTTTAGGGAACAATGACTGGTGTGGCATAATTGTTACTGCCTGATTAGAGCAATTATTACAGTACATAAAAGCATGGTGATGTTATATGTTGATCAATACCAGTACCTCAATGATGAAAACTGAGGTCACAAACTCCTCTTCTTTCCTCTTATCTCATTGAAGTTAACACTCATTTTACAAGCCAAACAGCAGTCTTTTTAACTAGTCTAAAAATGGTCACTAGTGTTACTATTGTTATGTAGGGCAGGCTTCAAAAACTGAAAAGTTTGGTCTCATCTTGAATTGGAGCATTTGCAGATGAATTTCATACCTGATATTTAGTTAGTTATGATCCACTAAAGTTGTAAACCCCTTGTAGTTAGGGACTACAGAGCTGGGAGGGACAAGTAAGTGAGATTTAACTTAACTCTGTTTGGGAGGTGAGAGGGAAGGTTTTAATTGTGTGTTGTTGACTGTTTTTTAAATTTATTTCTCTGTAGCCCGTCCTCGCCCGGCCTCCACCACCACTCCTGCTACTCCGGCTGCCTCCACTAACGGTGAAAACACCTCCGCCCACCGCCGCCGGGTCATCACCAAACCCCCTGTGCCCAAGCAAACGCCACTGGAGAAGAAGCCACCGGTGCCCCGTGCTCCTCGTACCCCCCGGCCCATTAACGCTCCAACACCTGATCTGAAGAACATCCGGTCCAAGATCGGATCCATTGACAACATCAAGTACCAGCCTGGTGGAGGAAAGGTAGGACAAACCAAACAGTAGAAGAAAGGTCTATAAAAATCTTCAAAACTTCTAAATCATTCTGCAGCATTTCAAGATTACTGAAATGCTGCAGAATGATTTTCTTGTATCAGCAAATGATTTGGCACTGTTTCACATGTTTTCCTCAGAGGGCTTCCTCTACTCTGGGACCAGACTGGTGTTCAGAATAAATGCTAATCAATCTGTCCTTGAAAAGTTAACACTGTATTGAATATCAACTTGTTGATACATTGCACTGATTAACAACCTGGAAGCTGAACTGCAGTCATTAAAGAGGCTAAAGGCTGAAATATGTAGCTAAAAAGCTGAAAACAAAATACTGTCAAAAGCTGGAACAACCTGAAGTTGAAATGTGCCAGCTGACCTCCATTACCTAGTAATGCTAAAGTTGAAATACATGTTATAAAAGCTTGAGCCTTAGCTGTAATACTGTTAAAGCTGCATTTACCATAAAAGGTAAAAAGGGGTGGAATAGAAGCAAAGAAAATAAACGTCCTTAAAGAGCTGAACATTTTGTAATTTAAATGGCTTCACAAGTCTGCACAGGTATTAGTCGAATGAAAAATATATAGAAGAATAAATTCTAAAGCATTGCTGAAAATGCCTTAAATACCACCATAAATGTCCTTAAATACCACTTTTTTTTTTACATTCGAATGGTTTCACTAGTTCATAATAAGCAGAAGTAGTAGTTGACCGAAAAACACATGAAAGAAGCGTTTAGCTACAAAAATATTGCCAGTGGTTTTCACCTGTAATGTAATACAATGTTGAAAAAAGTCAAACAAACACATAGTACAGAGGACCAAGACACAGGATTCAGTGAACCAGTGAACCAGCCTCTGGTTGGGGTACTGCAAGGAACTGAGAAAGGTCAAAGGGTTATGATCTGTAAGACCACCACAGGCACAAAACTAATATCAACATCAAAATGCTGCAAAGTCAAAATAAAAGCTAGTGTTTAATTACTGAATAATTTAGCTGATGTTTATTGAATTTTATTGAAATCCCCAAATCATCAGATTGCAATAACACTCTATATATCTATATCTATATATATATATATATATATATATATATATATCAATGATGGTGGTCTTGCTGCTGAAGACGCTCAGATCCACCTATATGCAGACAACACCATTCTGTACACATCCGGCCCTTCATTGGATACTTTACTAACAAACCTCCAGGAGAGCTTTAATGCCATACAGCACTCCTCCTATGAACTACATCTATTACCATACTCTGGTAAAACTAAGTGCATCCTTTTCAACCGATTGCTGCCCATACATGCCAGTCTGACTCACCACTCTGAATGGGTATGAACTAGAAAATGTGGACACCAACAATATCTAGGTGTCTGTTTAATTCAGAGAATGATCCCCTGGCTCCTCCAGGCTGCATATTGAAGTGTCCTTGGGCAAGATAGTCTGAGAAAGTTGGGGCCAGTTGTCACTTTCTCAGGCCAGTTGGGAGGGAGTTGTTATTTTATCAGTCACTATACTATGAACAGTTGCTCATGGTTATTGGCTTGAGTTTCAGAGTCAGTGGTGCCCCCTTTTTCAGAGGTCATTACCATTACATGCTAATTGAAGAGAGGGCAACAATCTATCTCTATTACTATCTTTCTGTTTCCCTTTTCTGGCTTCCCATCCAACCTTTAGTCTCCGATCGTTTTCCAGTTCCTTTGTCTCCCTTTGTCGA